ATGTTAAGGATATAGAATACGATTACAGAGATCGTCAAAGATTGCGATTATATTTACTTTCCTTTTAGTATAAGTTTACTTTCCTTAGTAGTAGATTACGTAATATTTCCTTTTATGTTTATTTCCTTTTACAGTTATTTGTAACCCTATAAATAGGGTCTTCTGTTTTGTAATAGAAACAAGTTTATTATAATACAATTTATAATATTCTTCACAACTATGAATGTTGGTTGCTTCAACAAACTTAAAATACGGCAACACGTGATTACAGAATTTCCTCGAGTCCCATCTAAATTTGAATACGCACAAGTTATCAAGTATTATATTAAAGTCTATCGAGAAAATATATAAGAGTCCTATTTGAAGTGCAACAAAAATTTTAGAACATGATGCACCATCAACAACAAAGATAATAAATCATAAGAATAGTGAGAACTTGCTGTCGAAAGCATTAGTGAAAGCTTTGAATTTGAAGATTGAAAAATACTCATCTTGCTATCAAGCTTTATAAGGACAAGAAATTCAAAATATGGAGGTATGCAAAATTTTACTCTCTTGGAAAGTAATGTAAAGATGAGATTATATGTAATGTGGTAGAGATGGACGATTGTCATGTACTTTGGGGGCAACCATAGTACTATGATATAGATGCTACTTATATAGGTCGAGATAATGGTATGTGTGTAGGTGGTATGATAAGAAGATTGTTTTGGTATCATGTGACGAGCAATTTGTGAGTACTAGTGTAAACAAAGAGAAAGATTCACAAAGCAGATGATGAGGTTAAAAAAGATGTAATTCAAGATAATCATGCTTTTACCGTCAATGATATTACAATAGAAAAAGAAAAATATGTGCAAGTTGAAAACCCGAAACTTTTTTATCCCCTATACATGAAAGTTGACAATTGATAAGGTGAAAAATGGTCCGGTGAAATTACAATTGAAAATCTTAAGATCGAGCTGCACTTCAAGGGTGAACAAGTTGAAGATCAGAAGTGTCCAACAGGAGAGGAAGAAATTAAACTTTTCAATCACGAAGGAGTCAAAGGTGAAGATTGTTAAATTAAGAATAAAAATTTCTCGACTTTTATATAGCTTCAACGTCAAAGAATTGTATAAGAATAAGGAAAACATGGACGCTGGGGATTTGAGTCCGCATGCCAGTTCTTTTATGTTGAAGAAAATATCACTAGACATTATAGCAGAAGATGATAAGTATGAAAAATTGAAAATAGCAGCACTAGTGGTCTTTACTGAGAGCGAACTCAAAGATAAGAAATCGAATCATGCTTGGCTGTGAAGGAATGTCAAGTAATTATTGTCAGTGAAGAAAATATAATGAACATGATAGGAACAAAGCTAACTTTAATGAATGCAACTGAAGAATATAAAGTCGTTTATTGAGCACATCAAGAAATGATTATTTTTTCAATATCAGTATTTACAAAAAAATTTAAGTATTTTTCTTCAAGAAAACTTGAGGACGAGTTTTGTTCAATTGGAAGGGATTGATGTAGTACGTAATTATGATTAGTAGTTTTCTACTACAATTTTAGTTTATCTTTTCAATTATGTTTATTTTTTCTAGTTGTAATAGGTTTTGTCTTTTACTCTTAAGTATTGTTTAGAATAGGATTGATTTATTTCCTTTTAGAATTTAATTTCCTTATTTTGGTTTCCTTGTATTAATAGGATTAGGGAATATTCTTACCTATAAATATAGAGGTACTTTACACTTTTCATGACAATTAATCATAAAACAATACAAAACAAGATTATTCAAATATAGTTCTTATTTTTAATTCTTATTACAAGAATTTCATAACGCTTCCGCACCAAACATGCTCAGGTTCCACTGTCTTTTAATCAACTACAACTCTGCCAACACTCTTAACCATGAAGGTCGAAATCGCCACAAGGGAAAAAGGCCAGAACAGAAAAGGGAGGGGACTTTCAGTGGAGGAAAAACAAAGAAAACAAAAGAAACAGACAGATTGCTTAGGAGGACAAGAAGTGGAAAAAAATACCAAACCCTAAAAACCTTGCTCTGATACCTTATTTAGACGAGAGTTTGGTATAATCATTAGAGAGAAGGAGGTAATTGTCTTCCTCTCCTTCACTTTCATTATATAGAGAAAATCAGATAGTACATGTATGGAAATAGAGTACAAATATGGAAACACAATAAACCCAATTGCACTCTAGCCTAATCTACATTATTCTAATTTACTTATTTCCTTAACATCTATTATAATCTGACAACTCATTGACAGAAAATACTCTGAAACTAAATCTCTTGCAACCACATTAAACAATGTTAATTTCCATCTTCATCTTCCTCTTATATCATGTTCTATTTGGATCATTTTGCTCTTGTGAATGTGAGGATCATTATACCTAACAAAACATGTCCCAATCATCGAAGTTTTTCTTCCTTTAACTTACCCTCAATTGGTACCACCTTTGCTTGGTTGTTTTATGCAATTTTAGTAGACTACGCATTCATCTTTCATGTGCTTATTTCTGGGACATTCTTTAACTTTCCCTCAATTGCTACCACCTTTGTTTGTTGCCCATCATCATGGTTATTTCATGCATTTTAGTATGATCACACATTCATCTTTAATGTCCTCATTTCTGATACATTCGTAGGATGAACAATTTGTATTTCAGAGATCCAAGACTCAATACGACAATACTGGTCTAATAAGCATTTCATGAAGCTCACCTTCTGATTTTGTAGGTTGTCAGAATCTTGTTATCACTTCTCCAGTTTGTTCAACTTGTTTTAGCCTTATGCTTTACATTATATTTAAATCCTCTTTTCTCATTTTAATTGAATTTACGTACATGAACAGTTAATGTATTTGGACAACATGATCCACTTTTATGAATATTCTATCCATCTTATTTTTTCTACAACTGATGGTTCTGCTCAACTAAAACCTTTAAAATCCAAAGTGCTCTTCCAAATTTGAATATCATATGCTGTGAGATCTCATCTTGGACATATCTCATAAGCTCATCCATGATTAGAACAAAATGTTAGTCTGAAATACGAATTCTCTAGTGCTACTCCTACCAGATTTCACTATCTTTATTGCCCCATCACAATTAATTTCAATCAAATTGATGTGTAATGTATCTAATAAACAATTAACAAGAGAGAGAATGAGTTTTAACTTGATCCCCTTGAGCAATTTTTACGATAAATTATTCTCTCTTTAATTTTCATTTGCGCCATAGCATAAGTTACTCCGAGTGATATTTTTCACTTTTTTGTCTCTGTAGTGCAACAATTTGAGAGTTTGTCATCAGAAAAGACACAAAAAGATGAGTTGGAGCACGTGACAGCAGCCCGAGCTTTGCAAAAGTATCTCATAAAGGCAAAATTGGCGAAGTTATCTTTTCCAATAAAATTTCCTACACAAAATCCAAGGCCATCTAGTACACAGCAGTCTCTGGCTGCATCATCAAAAATTCTTCCTTTCATATGCCCAAAACCTGGTCCTCGTAGCAGGCCTATTTCAACAATAAACAGCAATGCAGAGTCCCCGAAGACTGCTAAGACAACTCAAAGCCAGCCGGTGTTCCTTACCACAAAAGAGAGCCTCCTATCATTGGTGGAGAACGATAAGGTCCAACCTCTGAAGTTCCCCATGTCTAGAGCAGCACCCTACGTTCCAGTGCAGCATTGTAGTCCACACTACAGAATTGCACCGCCAGTGACAATACGAAATGCAATTCCTGTTTTCTCTACACCACCACTTCCTCCGCCTCAGTCTTCACTAGTGATGAGTCCCCAACCTTTGGGCATGGCACCACCTGTCTGCATAAGACATGCTGTTCCAGTATTTACTGCTGCTTCTGTTCGGGTAGACGAGTTACAAGTATTAAATCCAACTCTTGAAGGAGAGGATTCGAATATTTCTAGGCCTGCAGTTCTTGTCAAGAATCCACCAGCTACTAAATTTTCACTAGTTCGAGTAGAGTATCCACCAGTTTCTATTGCAACACAAGGTAGACTTGATGACTCACATTTTTTAAGCTTCCTTTCGTTTCAAGTTGAGGAACTTGTTGGCTCTATTCACTGCCTGTTTTTATAGGGAAGTATGCAGATTTTGAAGTTCCGTCAGTTCATGTTGAGCAACCAATATTTGAAGCCATAGCAACACCAGGTAGACTTGACGACTCACATTTTTAAACTTTCGTTCATTTCAAGTTGAGGAACTTGTTGGTTCTATTCACTGCCTGTTTTTATAGGGAAGTACGCAGATTTTGAAGTTCTATCAGTTCATGTTGAGCAACCAATATTTGAAGCCCCAGCCGTCCAAGTTGAGTCACCAGTCTCTCTGGTTACTACTCCACCAACTATTTCAGAAGCAACTGCAGACGAGACAGTAATAGCAGTGCAGGACAAGCTACCTAAGTCAAAGGTGATTGAAGACTTTGAAGAGCTAAAAATATGATTTCAGTACGGGATGTTTCAAATTGCAAAACCCTTTGTACTGTCTTATTTTGATTGTGAATTATGTAGGTTTAAATTCTCTTCTTTTCATATCCCGGTTAATTTCTTTCTGTTACTTCGCATGAGGGAATCCTATGTGATGTTGAAGCTTACCTCAATAGTTTAATAACTATTTTTTGTGTAGACAGAGTTTGCTGTATTTTCGTTCACAAGCTTAATCTCGAGATTAATGCTATTCATTGCACTAATATAGGTGGCAGCAGGTTTCCTAATTTATTTATCAATGGACTTCGATGCATTTTACATTGGACAATGCCATTGATGATCACGAGTGAATAACATTATTCTAAGAATAATGATATCTGACACCATTGGTGCTATAACATCAGTTTAGATAGTTTTTTTTTTTTTTGGTAGATAATCAGAAGATTTTATTAATAAAAAATACACAGGAAGTGTATTATCAGTTTAAACAAGAAAGAAAAGATATGAAGATAGGCAGCCCCTCTATAGGATTACCCAAAACATAAAACGTCAGTTTAAAATATTTCTGATTTTAATTTCCTTAAACTGTGCAATGTTCTACTTTCCCTCTATGTTCAACGCCCAAAACTTTTATGAGATCTTATAAATACCCTACATTTTCCAGACAGAGTGGGTAGTACCTTGTACCAGGTCCAATACCAGTGTCCTCATCCTTTTCTTTTTATATTTTGACATGCCAAGCTGTCTGAACAGCTGTTGACTGTGATCAGCACTGTCTGAACATGACAGACATGTGTTGGGTATTGCACATGCTCATTTCAACAACATTGGTGCTATAGATATAAAACTACTAGTCATGGTCTGATCTATCCACATGCTTAATTTTAAAATGTTTTATATTTTCTTATTTGGGAAATAAGATTGTTTAGTAAATAAAAATTTCATCAAATTGCGTTGCTACTCATTAAAGAAACATCAATTAGATTTTCTAATTTAGTGAACTTTTTCTTTAGGTTTAAATTATTCAATTGCGGTGTTATTGAATTTATTCAAAATTATAATTGGATAAAAGGTGATAGCACATCTCCTGGGAAGGGGAGGGAGAGAACAGGGAGGGATAAGATAGGAGGAGAGAAAATTGGGATGTGAAGAAAGTGGAAACTGCCACATGTACGCCAATTAAAATTTGCCATAAGAAACATACTGCAGAAATAAAATCACTTGCTCGAANTGAGACCCACGACCCTCACCCGAACACCATCCCCCCTCCATCACACCTTACTTCGCCCCAATGATTTCTCTCCAGAAACTCTCCCTCTCCACACCAAACCGCCACAGCCATTTGCCTAATAATGCCTTATTAAACAAAATAAGCCTTCTTAATTCGAGACCTTCAATCCTCAAAGGAGAGCAGACAACCCCCCATTTAACCAAATGAAGTTTCTTCTCCTCTCCCAAACCGGCCTAAAGAAATTCCCTTTGGATTCTCTCTAATCTGTTAGCTACCGCAGCAGGAATCAGAAACAGTGACATAAAATAAGTAGAGATATTTGATAGCGTAGATTTAATGAGTTAGACGACCACCCTTCGAGAGATACATACGCTTCCATCCCGCTAACCTCATTTCCACCTTTTCCACAATAGCATTCCAAATATTAACACTTTTAAACCGCGCCCCTAAAGGGAGTCCAAGATATGACATAGGTAACCGTGCAACCCTACGACCCATTATAATAGCTAGTTCCTCTACATTAGTGACCTCCCCTACTGGAATAGCCTCAAATTTCCTCAGATTAACCTTCAATCCTGACACCGCTTCAAAGCATAGGAGCAACCTGTGTAAGTTCCTAACTTGCTCTTCAACTGCGTCACAAAAAATCAATGTGTCATCTGCAAATAATAAGTGGGACACCTGCAATTGTCCAACCGTAAAACCCATAAGCAGATTCTCCTGCGTCACAAAAAATCAGTGTGTCATCTGCAAATAACAAGCGAGACACCTGCAGTCGACCAACCGTAAATCCCGTAAGCAAATTCTCTTGCCTCGCTTTCTCGAGCATCTTACTGAGGGCCTCCATTACAATAACAAACAGTAATTGAGACAATGGATTCTCTTGCCTCAACCCTCTACTACTCCAAAAGTAACCTTCGGGGGTACCGTTGACCAAAACTGAAAATGTAACAGTGGAGATACAAAACTGAATCCACTTACACCACTTATCCCCAAATCCACATCTTCTAAGCATATACAAAAGGAACTTCCAGTTCACGTGATCATAAGCCTTCTGCATATCAAGTTTACATAGCAACCCTGGGACCCCTTGGCACAGTCTTGAGTTAATACATTCGTTCGCTATTAGTACAGAATTAAAAATCTGACGACCTTTCACGAAAGCATTCTGAACATCAGTTTAGATAGTATTAAGTGATTGACTCAATTTTAGGTAGAATTATGTGATTCATTTAATTGTACACAATTTAACGTCACTTAGTATCACCGACACAAAAAAATGTTAAATAGCATCACTACTATTTTAATCTCGATTTAGATAAAGAACCCTTATGGTTTCGTTATTACATTATTAAATTAAATTAGATTTGAAATGTCCATTAAAAATACCAAAAACTGTATGTCGACATCAAGTTTTGATTAGCCATGAGAAGATGACATTTTGGTTCTTTTTTCTAATACAAAACAAGGGAATTGTGGTATTTTCAATACAGAATCAGCCCCCACCTTTTTTTTAAAGATCAAACGAGTATTTATGTCATTTGAGGATTTTAAAATGCATTGTTTAGTTTTTGACAGGTTGCCATCTCAACCAGCAATACCTACTCTCAAGTTGTATAGGCATTTTTCTTATGATTTTACACTAGTATGTAATAGCAAAACAGAACTTCAATACTTAAATATTCAAGTCTCGACTTTACAGAAGCTGCTCCCAAAATGAAGGAAAAAATAATAATAATAATAATAATAAATCGAACATGATCCATCACAATAACAAGCTTGCTTTATAAAAAGTCTGAACTATTAAATTTCCTAACTGATAACTGCGCATCAAAAGAAGTCTGAACTATTCACCCATAGTTTGCTGTACAGAATGTACTTATATTCCCGACCTCGAGGCCAGGGCAGAACACAATATACAGCCATTACAGTTACTAAAGAGTACTGAGTTAAAACCAAGGGGAAATACATTTTATCAATAGCTATCCGTAATCAAATTATGTGCAAATCAGTCCTTTATAAGTAGCAGCAGGGTTCAACTTCATCCACAGAAGGCAGCATCCATCGCACGAAAGATTGAAGCAGTATCGAACCGAAAGTTTCTAAAGCTCTTTCCAGGACCTTCAGAAGGATGCATGTCAGCCACTGGTTTACTTGGCTGGCTCTCTGTTGTTGAGCTGGTAGAGCTGTTCCTTGCCTTCCAAACGGTTATTCCTTCAAAATGCATGTATAAATTATCAGTAAATCGAATCCTGTAAAAGCAGTCTCAGATTCCAACAAAACTAGAGAGATGATAAGGAAGAAACAAGTTCAATTTAGTCACCGATTTCATTTCAGTTAAGACATTCTATCTAGGGAAATTTGCAGTGGAGGTTCCAAACCTTTCAAAAATGCACAGTGCAGTCACACTGTAACTTTAAATCATAGGGGGTGTTTGACACCCATTTAAATAGAAAAATGTGTTTTTGAATAGTGATTGATGGAAGAATGTGTAGTTAAAAAGTAATGAAAATTTTTAGATTTATGTTTAGTATTATTTTATTGATAGAATGTGTGGTTGAAATGAAGAAAGAGAAAAATAATGAGAATGAGAATGAGAATGAGAATGAGAATGAGAAAAAAATGGGTGCCAAACGGGGGCATAGCAACTAAGTTTCAAACCTTGCAATAAATGTGCACTCGAAAGACATCAGACGGTTTATGTCCAAATGATCGTTAGTTGACTAAGAGTCAAGTGTTTGACCAATTGTTAAGAGAATAAAAATGTCTCTCGAACATTTTTTCACTTGAAACAATTAATGATTGATAAGCAAAAATTCATAAGAAAAAAAAAAATATGGATCTTCTTCTCTACCTACCCCAGTCATTACCACCACTCCACCCATCTCCATCCCTACCACGACACCGCCCACTACATCACCCCGCCACAACCGAATTTGTACACTGCACCATATCTGAACTAGAATTTTGATTTGTAATAGAATCTAACTACTTGCTTATCATCCATTACCCTGCTCAATTCACATGGACCCTTGGATCCTCGGTCCTTCTCTATGGGCACTATATTGAGGATCTCCTACAGATTGAGATCTAATACTTAAGCAACAATTCTTGATTTTGGTTGGATATATTTTAGCCAAAAACATATGGAACTATGGCTGGCTTAGACAAACTGCCCTCAGTCATCTCATGTTGGTTTGTCTCCTTCCTCCAGAGATTTCATCAGAGAATTTTGAAAAGGTAGGAGAATTTTGAATCTAGTTTAGCCGAGAAACCAGAGGTCCAATACTTTGATTTTCGACCCAACCCAAGGAGAAATTCCCAAGTTATTGGTGGTCCAAGCTTGGCGGAGTGTCCCAGGGTTGGGTGAAGAGATTCGAATTGGGTTGGTAGACCAAAATTCTAGTCCAGATCTAGTTTAATCACTTGTGGCCGGGCGGTGTCGCGATAGGGATGAAGGTGGTTGCAGTGGCGGGGGATGGATAGGTAGGATAAGTGGAGCAGATCCATACTTTCTTTTTTGTAATTTTATTTTTCCATATCAATTATTAATTGTTTCTTATTTCAATTATATCAAGTTAAGAATTTTAAGACTCTTGGGTCCTTTTTAGAATTGGTCAAATTAAGGATAAACGCTTGACTCTTGGTCAAGAGTCACTTGGACACAAATCGCCCAGAGGTTCTTTAGGTGCACATTTATTGTACGCATTAAAGGTTTGGGACTGCAATACACATTTTTGAAAGGTTAAGGTTTGGGACCTCTACGGCAAATTTTCCATCTATCC